TGCCCCCATCCCAATTCTTCTGTGCCCCCATCCTGGTCCCTCCCTTTAGTCCGGGACAAACAGCAAGCTCGTTCCTCCGGGGGTGGATTTTGGGTGGATGTGGGTGGTGCCAGGAGATTGTGGAGAAGGGAATTTGCCCCTCTGGAGTGTTCCTGGCAGTGGCCAGGCACAAAGCTGCCCATGCCTCGGAGTGGTTTTGGTCACCAAGGAGGATTTAAACCTCCTCTCCCCCAGTCCTGCGCTCAGAGGTGAAACCCCTAAGTGAGACCTTAAATAAGGAAGAGTTTCCAGGTAACTTCCCAAACTCCCACCGGGAAAAGAGGAGGATTTTGGAGTAGTTTAACCCCCACTTGCCAAATCTGAGTCCCTTCAGGGCAGTGCTTGCTAAGGGGCCACTTCCACAGCTGCTGGGATGCTGGAGCAGAGGGCAGAGCTGTGCTGGGGATGGGATGCAGCTGCCTCACCCAGGAGCTGGCTTTACCTTCAGATCTGTGTTGAGAATCCAGATGAAGGTGCAGACCTTGGCATTGCTGGGACATTTCAGGACGATGAATCCTCCAGGTCCGTTCTCACCCCTGCGGAGGAGCAAAGCCAATCAGGCAGAGCCAGGTTGGAATTCTGGCTGGGTTTCTCTGTGGATGCACCACACAGAGCTGAGCCTGGCAGCGAAGGCCAGAGCCCAGCGGGGCAGGAGCAGATGCTGGGAGCCTGGGAAGGTGTGTGCCTTGGCTCCAGGTACACGAGCCAGCACGGCAGGGCAGCTTTCCCACAGGTGCCTTGGCAGCAGCGGTGCCAGGGCTGCTGGCGGAGCAGCAGCTCTGCCTCTGCCTCGTGCCAGCTGCTCCCCACGGGAAACTTCCCTGGGAGCAAACAAGAGGTCCCAGGAAGCTCTGTGTGCTCAGGACAGGCTTGGCACTTGTCACACCAGCCCCCAGATCCTTCCCGGCACCATCTGATCTGTCTCTGAGACGGGAGCTGTGCACACGCAGCCCAAATACAGATTTCCCTTCCCTCTTCACAACAAGCTATTTTTGCTGTGTGCGTTCGCTAAAGGATTTTTCCAGGCCTTGAAGTCCCCAGTTCCTAAATAGATTGAGGCAGCTCCAAGGGCTCTGAGATAAAATGTCAATTACTTTAACCAGATTATTGAGGAGAGCGAAGTCGGAGCGCGCGGCGGCACAGCTGGGCCCCGGCAGGAACAAGGAGTCCTTGTCTGATGAGCCCAGCCCTGCTGGGATCCATCTCCAGCCTGTCCCTTCAGAAGGGGAGAGGCCAAAGCCCTGCTGAGATTTTGGGATTTTGGGAGCTGCTCCATCCTCATGGTTTCATCCCTCAATGCCTCAAATTTGGTGAGCGAGAGGTTTACTGTGGGAATGCCCTGGGATCCTGGCAGGGGTCAGGAACCCCCCTGGACAGAGCCCCCAGAGACACTAGCTGTGATCTCTGTCCATGGAAAAGAGTTTTCAATCTTACAGCATGAATTACCAGCTCTGAGTATTTGATACAAGTAATAATTAAATGTGGCACAGGTGCAAAAGTAAAATTTTAGGATTCTAGATAAGGGGTCCAAAGGGGACAAGATGGAGGAAATTGGGTGTGTCTTGTCCTTTTCCTCCTTCTCCATGCCCTCCATGTCTCACTGTGGTGTTGGCATTTTTCTGTTGGTTCAGGCTGGGGACACACTGTCCAACGTAGGTGACAGATATTGGCACGCTATTGTAAATCCAGCCCAGGGAGTTTCTGGTGTATAATGTCTGCAACATCCCACTGAGGGATGTTACATTGGCACATTTTTGTAAATATAGCACAGGTAGTTTGTGGTATTTAATGTTTGTAACATCCCACTAAGGGATGTTACATTGGCACATTTTTGTAAATATAGCACAGGTAGTTTGTGGTATAGAATGTTTGTAATATTATATACCAGATAGAATGTTTATAACATTATAAACCAGAAACTGGGGACTGGGTTTAGGCTGGGGACACACTGTTCAACCTAGGTGACAGATACTGGCACGTTATTGTAAATATAGCACAGGTAGTTTCTGGTATTTAATGTTTGTAACATCCCACTGAGGGATGTTACAATTTAAAATAAATTTATGATTTATATTGTAAATCCAGCCCAGGGAGTTTCTGGTATTTAATGTTTGTAACATCCCACTGAGGGCAGAGCCCCACACGCTGCCCTGCAGGACAGAGCTGGGCAGGGCAGCAGAACATGTTAGAGATAAACAGAATAAACAACCTGGAAACCAGCACAAATGAATTATGACTTCTTCTTTGGCAACGGGGCAGAAAGACTTTTTACAATCTTGGAATCATCAATAGCACAGATTCCGACAGTTTATGAGGAGCAAAAGGCATGAGACAGGCTCGGAGCCACAGCCAGCTGTTTACTGCCCCTCAGAAATCCCAGTTTGGGAATTAACTGTTACATAAACAGGATGTGGGCCTGGGGTTTGTGCTTTTACTGGTCAGCACCTCCACTCCCCTGAGCTGGAAAACGCCCCGGCACCGCTGACAGCACAGAGAGTTTCTTGAACAAAGGGAGACGAACAAGGGAAGCGAGGTTCAGCTCCACAAATAGCTCAGCTTCCTGCAAATCCTGCCAGGAAGGCAGCAGGGCTTGCAGTTAAGTGGCTCTTTGCCTTGGAGCTCTGGAGAAGAGCGTGATCCCAGCTGAAAAAACAGCACCTGCCTCTCACCTGACGTACTTGGAGAGCGGAGGCTTCAGGCTGTGCGTGGTCGATATCCCTGAGGAAACGTACCTGTCCCTCCTCCTCTCGATCCGACGCACGTTCACGAAATCCCTGCGCAGAGAAAAGGTTTAAAAACACACTGGGGATGTGCAGGGGGCAGATGCAGCTCTTTGGACTGCTGGGAGAGGCTGTGTCAACACAGGGAACTGATATCTGGGAGCCCGGCTGAAGGAGGTTTGGAGTTTTGAGAATCCTGCCAGGAGCGTCTGGAGGGAATTTCTGCTCGCCCTTGGGAGCGTTACCTGCACGGCCAAGCAGCACTACCAGGGTGACACCAGCAGCTCAGAGCGCTCCCAGCGCCCCAGAGGGGTGTCCCCGTGGTTTGGGGGGTGTCTGGGGGCAGTGTGGGATGAACTGACCTGGGGGACACCACCCCGCCGGCAGCTCCGGCCGCCACGTCGTACGAGACGATCGTGTTGTCCTCGATCCGCTGCAAGATCTGGGGAAGGGCAAAGGGAAATAAATCAAAAGAAGGGCAACCCGCTCAGATTTTGGCAAGTACCAAGAGGATACAGCCCTTCCCCCAAATCAGCATCGGGATCAGACCAGAGCATCTTACGGGGCGGAGAGCGATGAGCTGTGTGCTGGTTCATCTGCTGAGATTTCGGGGGGCACAGGTGTCACCTCCAGCTCCCCTCCACGAGGCTCTGAGCCCCCTCGCCAGGCAGAGGCAGCTCTGGCTCAGCCCTGGCCCCCGGCCCTGCCCACCTCTGGGGCTCTTGGCCGGGCACAGGCGCGTGCAGCCGGAGCGCACGGATGAGCGGCGGGGATTTTACGCCTCGGTGCCTGGGACCCAGCTCGGCTCCAGCCCCGCCAGCAGCCCGTGTTGGACGGGGGAGCTCCAGCTCTCCGCTCCAAGGAGCTCCTGTGATTAAGCCATCTTTGTCCAGCACGCTCACCTGGCAAGCTGCCACTGTTCTGTTCCACAGGATCATCTTCTCGGGCTGCAAAATCACCTCCTGGTAAACCGTTTCAGGGGAGCACTGCAGGAAAGCCTGAGGACAGAGCCAGAGCACTCAGCCAGCCCCTCTGCTCCCCTTGGGGGAGAGTGTTTTTAAGGAAAACGGGGTAAAACACAAAAGACAAGTGGGAATGCAGGTGAGGGAGGGGTGAGGCCAGGCTGGCTCCCCTGTCCCCCTGTCCCAGTGCTCCCAGGGGCCTGGGGAGCACCCATGGGGTCAGGGGGTTCACACAGACCTCAGGATTTGGGAGTCACTGAGTTCTGCCTGTCTGTCTGTCTGCCCCTCTCCCACCTCAGCAGTTCCCATTGCACCATTGCTTCGGGAAGTTGCATTTTTGAATATTTTAGCTTTTTTTTTTCCCCCAAGCTATTCCAAGCTCCAACACACACACAGCATCCATTCCATTCCCCCCCGCCAATCCCCACGGGAGCGGGGATCTTCGGAGGCAAACGGTGAAGGCAATAAAGTGGGACCATCCAGCTTTTGCTGGTGAGCACAAGAGCTGCTCCACTGGCAGCTCCTGCCAGCCAGGCAACATATGCACTGGAACAAAGAAAAGCCACGGCAGCACCGACGCTTCATTAAAGCGTGGTTCCCAGCCAAGCCACTCCAGCTTGGGAGAGGGCACGGAGCGAGGCACTTCCGAGCTGCTCTGCCCCGTGCCAGGCAGCAGCAGACGCACGCTCAGCCCTGGCCTTGCTGGCAATTAGTTCCAATTAGCCTCCTTGGTCAGATTAGCCCGAGATGCTGGGGTTGGAAGCGAGTCTCGCAGTCACCTGCTCCCGGCTCTACCGGAGGAGTCTGGGGTTTTGGATGTTTACTGGGGAGTTTGTCTGCCGGCCAAGGGGTTTTCCTGGAGAGATTCCCCAGTGCTGTTCATCTGTCTCAAGCACAGGGAGAGTGTTTTGCAGCCTGACCCGTGCTGAAAGCTGAGCCCCGGCTCTTCCCCCGTGCCAAAGAAAATCAACCCAAGGATGTTCTCACCTTTAAAATAAAGGTCTTGCCGTGGAAAGGGATTTCAAAAGTGTAAACAACATCACCAAAGTCCTGTGCAAGAGATGAGAAAGTTGTATCAGTAAAAAGGGATTGTTTCTATTCAGGGTGAAGTTTGCTAAGAACTCTGAGGCTCCTGTCACCCCCTGCCCCCCACACCAGGCAGCAAGTTCGGCACAGAAACCGCCCCGAGCACATTTCAGCTGGCCATGCCCACGTTTCCATCAACAAAACAATATCCAGAGAGGCAGCAGGGATGAGACAGAAAAAGAATCCGCCCCGTGCCAGGCTGCAAACCCCACGTCAAGGTCACATTCTCTTTGCAGCAGCACCGGGGTGCAAAAGGGGTTCGCTGCCAGCGTTACCTACAGCTGAGAGGAGCCTCCCCGGAGGGGCTGGGGATGGGCAGATGAAAACCTTTCATCGTTAGCCCTGTGTTAAACTCTGATTAGTCTATTTAAATCCATCCCCCTTTGGAAAAAGAAAACAATCTGCCCAGCTAGTTTGGCATCAGACAAAGGATCACTTGACGGGGGAATTTGAAACAGATGAGACAGCAGTTCGCTGGATTTGTACCCCCCGCCCCAAGTCGTGTTTGAACCTTGTGAACCTTTTGAACCTTGTGTTTGGGGGACAAACCCCTTCTTTTCTCTCCACTCTTCAGAGAGAAGAAAGAGCTCTGTGCACCCCAAAAAAGTCTGGAGAAGGCAGAGCCACATCCCAAATTTACACCCCAGGTGCTGGGGAAGGGGGACACCAGCAGCTTTGGGGGTGGGAAGAGCAGTTAGTGCCCAGCATGGGCCAAGACTCCAGTTTGGGCCCCCAGCAGGCTCAAAGGCACCTGGGCATGGAGCAAGGGCAGGGCTGGAGCTGTGGGAGCAGCATTCCCCTACTCCTGCCCATGGCTCTGCATCCCAAAAGTGAGCCGGCCACCCCTGCCCACCCTCCGGACAGAGGGAGGTGGGAAGGGCCCTCTCCTGTCAAACTGCAAAGCAATTAAACCTCTAATTAAATAAGAGGGGATTTTACATTTAACTGAACTGGAATGGATTCCTAATTCAATCAGGTAATTGTAACGCTTGTTAATTTTTCATGGCGCAAGGAGGTTTCCAAAGCCTCGTTTGTCCCGGTTTTTGCTAAGCCATCCATGCCCTCTGCCAGCTGGGGAGGAAAATCCACACTTGCATTGTTTTTCTCGAACTTCCAGTTCTCCTCCTGGGCGAGGATTTGGTCCACAACCTCCATGGCCTCTTTGCCTTGTCGGACATACTCCTTTTCCTGGGTAAGGAGGGAGGATTTCATTAGCTGGGCGTGCAGGAGTGTGTGTGAGGCTGCTCCCCCCTCTCCCCGGGCTGGCAGAGGGAAAGGGGATCAGAAATCTCTTAATTTGGGTCACAGAGGCCTCATTTTGGAGCTCCAAGTCACGCTCCCCGCCCTGGCTTGGATCCACACACCAGCTGCTCCCGATGGCTCCTGCCTTGGCAGGAAGGTTTCCAGCAGGCAAAGGGCTCTGGGATGTGCAGCTTCCTTCCTGGAGGAGCCAGAATTTGGGCTGAACAGGAGCAGCATCTCTTGGAAAAAGGCACAAAACCCGTGCTCAGCCAGGTTTTGGGGAGGTTAAGGGCCACCCTTCAAGCCACAGGGACAATGAGGTGATGCCCATCCCAGAATTGACCAAAGGAGCAGGGATGGAAGGGGGAAGGGAAAGGGACAGGCAGGAGCAGAGCCAGAGCACATTCCTGTGGGATGCTGCAGGGGAGGGCACACAGCCCAGGGGCAGGGGGGTAAAGCTGGGGGGCTCAGATGACCCCTCCTGCAGCGGCTGCCATGCCACCAGCCCTGCGGCACAGAGAGGGCTCAGCCACACGTCCCCAGAGCTGAGGGCTCTGGGATGGGGGGCAGCAGAACCTGATGGGACCACAAGACTGGGGAGGCTCCCGGAGCCCCAGATCAGCTGGAGCTGAGGGCAGGGCCAGGCTCTGTTTACCTGAGTTGTCAAGGCCTTCCTCCCCACACCTTCCTCATCAGACTCGTTGTCTGAGCCTAGAGGGAAGCACCAATTAACTCACAGTTAATTAACACCCCAACGATACCAGCTCCCCCCCTTCTCCTGGGGGACAAGGTCTGATCCCTGTCCCTCATCCAGCAGGAAGGGCTCTCAGTGAGAATGACTCCCTGTCTCCCTGAACACCTGCTTGGCTCTCCAGAGGGCTGAGCTTGTCCTGGGTGTCAGTTGTACCAGGAACAGTGTTCCAGAGGGCTGAGCTCATCCCTGTGTCAGCTGTACCAGGAACAGTGTTCCAGAGGGCTGAGCTCATCCCTGTGTCAGCTGTACCAGGAACAGTGTTCCAGAGGGCTGGGCTTGTTCTGGGTGTCAGCTACACTAGGAACAGTGTTCCAGAGAGCTGGGATTGTTTTAGGTGTCAGCTACACTGGGAACAGTGTTCCAGAGGGCTGAGCTTGTCCTGAGTGTCAGCTACACTGGGATAACTATTCCAGAGTGCTGAGCTCATCCCTGTGCCAGCTACACTGGGACAACTGCTCCAGAGGGCTGAGCTCATCCCAGGTGTCAGCTGTACCAGGAACAGTGTTCCAGAGGGCTGGGCTTGTCCTGGGTGTCAGCTCCACTGGGATAACTATTCCAGAGTGCTGAGCTCATCCCTGTGCCAGCTACACCGGGAAAAGTGTTCCAGAGAACTGAGCTTGTCCTGGGTGTCAGCTACACTGGGAAAAGTGTTCCAGAGGGCTGGGTTTGTTCTGGGTGTCAGCTACACTGGGAAAACTGCCCTGGAGAACTGGGCTCATCCTGGGTGTCAGCTACACTGGGACAACTGCTCCAGAGGGCTGAGCTCATCCCGGGTGTCAGCTGTACCAGGAACAGTGTTCCAGAGGGCTGAGCTCATCCCGGGTGTCAGCTACATCAGGAAAAGTGTTCCAGAGGGCTGAGCTTGTCCTGGGTGTCAGCTACACCAGGAAAAGTGTTCCAGAGGGCTGGGCTCATCCCAAGTGTCAGCTACACTGGCACAACTCTGGAGAGCTGGGCTCACCCCAGGTGCCAGCTGCACCAGGACAATCCAGCTGAGATGTCCCCACTGCCACGCCAGGAGCTCCCCAGTGCCCGCACAGGGCAGTGACGTGCCACCAGCCCTTACCCTCACCCCAGGGCAGCATTTCCCAAGCACACAGCCCAGAGCATTTAATCCCAAGCCCACACAAGGCTCCAGTGTCCCAGGGAGCTGCAGCCAGGCTCGCAGGGATGAGGGCAGCTCATAAAAGGTGCCACGTGGAGAGTGTGGCAGTGCCACCCCTGCCCAGATGCAGGCACAGAGAGGGGACAGGGGACCCTGTTCTGCAGTGCCAGTTCCTGGAGGTTCTGCCAGGGGTTGGGATAACGAGGCAGAGCTCGGGGAAGAGATGATGGAGGTGAGGAATTCCAGGGTGGGACGAGCATGGGAAGAGAGGTGATGGCACAGGTGACCTTACCTGCGAAGGACTCGGGTGGGGAGTAGAACTGTCCCTCAGAGAGGGCTCGGGGGTACAGCAGCGGCCTCGAGGCTGCAGCCTGGGCTGCCAGGAACCCTGGGAATGGGAGCACAAGGATTTAACACCTGTGGGACACCAGCCCTGCCAGAACACCCTCTTCTTTTTCCCACTGACACCAGCCAGCCTCAGCTCCTGTTGCTTCATCTTTTGTCTGAGATGTTTTATCTGCCCCGGAGATCAATGGGCTCTTCTGCCTGTCAAATAATCCAAAGGCGATTAAGCATCTAATTAAATAAGAGCTTCCCCTGGAAGCAATTTGGAACCTGAGCCTAATCCAATAGAGGCATTAAACACTTGATCATTTTTCAATTTTAAAGCCTCCTTGCAAGACCCAAACATCCTCTGGTGCTTTGCAGTCAGAGCATTTCTGATTGCCTGACAAATGCCCCTCTTCGTTTGGTGCCACTTCCCAGCCAGTGACTCCTGGGAGAGGGACAGAGCAGGTCCCTGGAAGGACCCTGGAAGTCACAGGGTGATGTGTGAAGCATTAGGTCAGCCCCAATCCCTGCTCAGCGTGACCTCAGAGACCACAGAATTTCACAGCCCATAATTCACCCTGAGCCACAGAATGTGTCTGTGACACCAGCAGCCCTCCTGGAAAGGGGCTCCAGCCAGATCCAAACACAAACATCAGGGACAGGGAGTCCAACACTCTGCCTGGCATTTGCCTCCCTGTTTCCAAACACTTTCTCCCATGCAGAGCTGAGCTCTGTCTCCAGCACGTCTGGCTGCAGGATCCAGCCATTGGGAAATCTGGCACGTTTTTCCTCCCCTCAGTTAAAAGATGCTCTTTTATAATCTGGTATTTTCTTCCCTGAAGGGACTTGGTGACCATAAGAGAACTGAGTCAGGCACTTCCCATCCCAGCCAGCCTGGAGATCCCCTTCCCAGAAATGTCAGATCATGGTGATGCCAGAGCAAGCCTGGTTGGATTTGTCCAGCTCTTACCAGAGAGGAGCAAAAATACTCACATCGTTCCTCTTCTGCTTCCTGAGTGAGGACTTTAAAATCCAGGAACCAGGTCTCCAGCCAAGCAATGACAAACGAGACGATGGGAAGTAAATACCCAAAAGCCCCTTTGGTCAGAAGCTGTGTGGAAAGAAGCAGAAAACCCCAGGGAATGACCCAAAAAGGGAATCAAACAGCACTGAGAAATCACAAAGCAACTTCCTGCGAGCCCAGGGAAACCAACCTCGGAGAGGATGACCTTGACAATCAGGAAGGCACTGGATACCAGTGTAGTGACCTGAAAAATGAGTGGGCAGAGCTCAGATCCATGTGAAATCCAGGAGGAGAAGGAAAACTCCCCCAGAGGAGAGGCTGGAGTGGCTCCTTACCGCGATGACCCACCAGTGGCGCAGGCGGACAACAGCGTAGCCCAAGAGCAGCACGACAAAACGGAACAGAGCCAAGAGCTGCAACAACAACAACCACCCAGCAACACCAGTCACTGCCCCTGTCCCCCTGCCTCACTGCCCTCGTCCCTCTGCCAGGCGCTGGGAGGGCAGGGACAGCCACCAGCTCCCGGGGAACAGACGGATCAAGGCTGCACCAGGAGGGATTCACCAAGGTGGGCAAGGGGAGAGCCCAGACCCTCCCGGCCCCACTGAGCCCCAGAGCCCTGCAGGAGGCTGAGATACTCACAAAGATATCAAAGAAGGAGGTCTTGAATTCGTAGTTGATGATTTCATCCTTCAGGTTCTCCTTGATGCCCACCTTGGTCTGAGGGAGACAGGGAAGCAGGAAGCTGTTGAGTGTGGCAAGCACATTTCTCTCCCTCTCAGGATTTTTCATAGAGGTGCACAGAGAGAAATGAAAGAGAAAACAATTCCTATTTCTGCTCCTTGTTTTTTCCTATGTGGAATGGGTTTGGAGAATTGTTTACCTGGAGTGAGTGCTTGGTTGGATTCTGGTGAGGATTGTTTGAGCCTGGTGGCCAATCCAACCCACCTGGGGCTGGGCTCTGGTCACGAGTTAGAGTCAGAGAAAGTAGTATGTCGTTTTAGTATCCTCCTTTATATAGTATATTGATGTATTTTAGCATAGTTATAATAAAGAAATAATTCAGCCTTCTGAACTGAGTCAGACATTGTCATTTCTTGCCATGGGGTTCGCCTGCATTTACAATAGTTGAGTGCACTGATAAGAAAGTGATGGTTGAAGGAGTTAAGCAGTGCCCGGGGTTACGGCCAGGTCAGGGAATGCATCTGGAACAGAAATGATCCCACAGGCCCAGCGTGGGCTCCTCTGCCAGCACAGGATCCCGTGGCACATTTCCTGCCTGGATCACACCACGTTTCCCCCTGGGATTCACACCCAGGAGCATGGGTGGGGCAGGAGGGACATCAAAAACCTTTAGGTGGTGATTTCCAACACCCAAATCTTTGGCTCAGCACAGCACAGCTCCTCACAGCCTGCAGCCCTTGGATGGCCACCTGCCACTGCTGCCCACCTGGCAGATTCCAGAGGAACGGAAAAGATGGAAAACCACAGGAAAAATGTTCTTCAGGAACCTCCACTAATGCACTGAACATCTTCCTGTGGGGGCTGTCAGGGTCACTGAATCCCTGGGGGGATTTAAGAACCTACTCATGAGGGGTCCCTTCTCCCTCCAGCTGGCTTCCCACAGCTCACAGAAGTGCTCCAGGAAATCTGGTGGAAGAAGGGAACCAGCAGGATCAAACGTGCTGGCAAAGGGAGGCATCTGAGAGAGGCAAAAACCCTCTCTGGGACTAACAGCAGCGTGGAAAAAACTCATCCTGAGATAATCCAGGGTCTGACAGCCCCGGTCCTTTGGCCCCCCATAAATCCTGGGAGGCTGGAATGGCTGTCTGTGAGGAAGTGGAGGGCTCAGGTAACTGGAACAAATGCTTCACCTTTAGGCTATGGCTTTGGAAGGGGCCCAGCTGGCTGGGAGCTGGCAGAGCCAGCAGCTGGTGGATCCCGGGCCAGTCCTTGGCAGCCAGGGTGTCCTGGCACTCCAAGGGCAGCCACTGGGAAAGGATCCCCCTGGGTCAGGCTGCAAATCCAGGGGGAAGGAGGCAAAAACTGGGGGGTGAAGCCACAGGACTCGGGCCAGCTTGGCTGAGTGGCCACCAAAAGCCCCTCCGTGGCTCCAAGGGATGCTGCAGGAAGGAGGAGAAATGTTTGGGTGATGGTTTTTGGGGAGTGTTTCAGCTGTGAGGAATGAGTTGGTGAGTGCCAGTCCCTGGCAGAGGGGTGTCCTGGCACTCCAAGGGCAGC